GAGTGGTGGCTATCATCTCTGGTGAGTGGTGGCTATCATCTCTGGTGAGTGGTGGCTATCATCTCTGGTGAGTGGTGGCTATCATCTCTGGTGAGCGGTAGCTATCATCTCTGGTGAGTGGTGGCTATCATTGCTGGTGAGTGGTGGCTATAATCTCTGGTGAGTGGTGGCTATCATCTCTGGTGAGTGGTGGCTATCATGTCTGGTGAGTGGTGGCTATCATCTCTGGTGAGTGGTGGCTATCATCTCTGGTGAGTGGTGGCTATCATCTCTGGTGAGTGGTGGCTATCATGTCTGGTGAGTGGTGGCTATCATCTCTGGTGAGTGGTGGCTATCATCTCTGGTGAGTGGTGGCTATCATCTCTGGTGAGTGGTAGGCTATCATCTCTGGTGAGTGGTGGCTATCATCTCTGGTGAGTGGTGGCTATCATCTCTGGTGAGTGGTGGCTATCATCTCTGGTGAGTGGTGGCTATCATCTCTGGTGAGTGGTGGCTATCATCTCTGGTGAGTGGTGGCTATCATCTCTGGTGAGTGGTGGCTATCATTGCTGGTGAGTGGTGGCTATCATCTCTGGTGAGTGGTGGCTATCATCTCTGGTGAGTGGTGGCTATCATCTCTGGTGAGTGGTGGCTATCATCTCTGGTGAGTGGTGGCTATCATCTCTGGTGAGTGGTGGCTATCATCTCTGGTGAGTGGTGGCTATCATCTCTGGTGAGTGGTGGCTATCATCTCTGGTGAGTGGTGGCTATCATCTCTGGTGAGTGGTGGCTATCATCTTTGGTGAGTGGTGGCTATCATGTCTGGTGAGTGGTGGCTATCATTGCTGGTGAGTGGTGGCTATCATCTCTGGTGAGTGGTGGCTATCATCTCTGGTGAGTGGTGGCTATCATCTCTGGTGAGTGGTGGCTATCATCTCTGGTGAGTGGTGGCTATCATCTCTGGTGAGTGGTGGCTATCATCTCTGGTGAGTGGTGGCTATCATCTCTGGTGAGTGGTGGCTATCATCTTCTGGTGAGTGGTGGCTATCATCTCTGGTGAGTGGTGGCTATCATCTCTGGTGAGTGGTGGCTATCATCTCTGGTGAGTGGTGGCTATCATCTATGGTGTGTGGTGGCTATCATCTCTGCTGAGCGGTGGCTATCATCTCTGGTGAGTGGTTGCTGTCATCTCTGGTGAGCGCGGAAGCTATCATCTCTGGTGAGTGGTGGCTATCATTGCTGGTGAGTGGTGGCTATCATCTCTGGTGAGTGGTGGCTATCATCTCCGGTGAGTGGTGGCTATCATCTCTGGTGAGTGGTGGCTATCATCTCTGGTGAGCGGTAGCTATCATCTCTGGTGAGTGGTGGCTATCATTGCTGGTGAGTGGTGGCTATAATCTCTGGTGAGTGGTGGCTATCATCTCTGGTGAGTGGTGGCTATCATGTCTGGTGAGTGGTGGCTATCATCTCTGGTGAGTGGTGGCTATCATCTCTGGTGAGTGGTGGCTATCATCTTTGGTGAGTGGTGGCTATCATGTCTGGTGAGTGGTGGCTATCATTGCTGGTGAGTGGTGGCTATCATCTCTGGTGAGTGGTGGCTATCATCTCTGGTGAGTGGTAGCTATCATCTCTGGTGAGTGGTGGCTATCATCTCTGGTGAGTGGTGGCTATCATGTCTGGTGAGTGGTGGCTATCATCTCTGGTGAGTGGTGGCTATCATCTCTGGTGAGTGGTGGCTATCATCTTTGGTGAGTGGTGGCTGTCATCTCTGGTGAGTGTTGGCTATCATCTCTGATGAGTGGTGGCTATCAGCTCTGGTGAGGTGGCTATTATTTCTGGTGAGTGGTGGCTATCATCTCTGGTGAGTGGTGGCTATCATCTCTGGTGAGTGGTGGCTATCATCTCTGGTGAGTGGTGGCTATCATCTCTGGTGAGTGGTGGCTATCATCTCTGGTGAGTGGTGGCTATCATCTCTGTTGAGTGGTGGCTATCATCTCTGCTGAGCGGTGGCTATCATCTCTGGTGAGTGGTTGCTGTCATCTCTGGTGAGCGGAAGCTATCATCTCTGGTGAGTGGTGGCTATCATTGCTGGTGAGTGGTGGCTATCATCTCTGGTGAGTGGTGGCTATCATCTCCGGTGAGTGGTGGCTATCATCTCTGGTGAGTGGTGGCTATCATCTCTGGTGAGCGGTAGCTATCATCTCTGGTGAGTGGTGGCTATCATTGCTGGTGAGTGGTGGCTATAATCTCTGGTGAGTGGTGGCTATCATCTCTGGTGAGTGGTGGCTATCATGTCTGGTGAGTGGTGGCTATCATCTCTGGTGAGTGGTGGCTATCATCTCTGGTGAGTGGTGGCTATCATTGCTGGTGAGTGGTGGCTATAATCTCTGGTGAGTGGTGGCTATCATCTCTGGTGAGTGGTGGCTATCATGTCTAGTGAGTGGTGGCTATCATCTCTGGTGAGTGGTGGCTATCATCTCTGGTGAGTGGTGGCTGTCATCTTTGGTGAGTGGTGGCTATCATCTCTGGTGAGTGGTGGCTATCATCTCTGGTGAGGTGGCTATTATTTCTGGTGAGTGGTGGCTATCATCTCTGGTGAGTGGTGGCTATCATCTCTGGTGAGTGGTGGCTATCATCTATGGTGTGTGGTGGCTATCATCTCTGCTGAGCGGTGGCTATCATCTCTGGTGAGTGGTTGCTGTCATCTCTGGTGAGCGGAAGCTATCATCTCTGGTGAGTGGTGGCTATCATTGCTGGTGAGTGGTGGCTATCATCTCTGGTGAGTGGTGGCTATCATCTCCGGTGAGTGGTGGCTATCATCTCTGGTGAGTGGTGGCTATCATCTCTGGTGAGCGGTAGCTATCATCTCTGGTGAGTGGTGGCTATCATTGCTGGTGAGTGGTGGCTATAATCTCTGGTGAGTGGTGGCTATCATCTCTGGTGAGTGGTGGCTATCATGTCTGGTGAGTGGTGGCTATCATCTCTGGTGAGTGGTGGCTATCATCTCTGGTGAGTGGTGGCTATCATCTTTGGTGAGTGGTGGCTATCATGTCTGGTGAGTGGTGGCTATCATCTCTGGTGAGTGGTGGCTATCATCTCTGGTGAGTGGTAGCTATCATCTCTGGTGAGTGGTGGCTATCATCTCTGGTGAGTGGTGGCTATCATGTCTGGTGAGTGGTGGCTATCATCTCTGGTGAGTGGTGGCTATCATCTCTGGTGAGTGGTGGCTATCATCTTTGGTGAGTGGTGGCTGTCATCTCTGGTGAGTGTTGGCTATCATCTCTGATGAGTGGTGGCTATCAGCTCTGGTGAGGTGGCTATTATTTCTGGTGAGTGGTGGCTATCATCTCTGGTGAGTGGTGGCTATCATCTCTGGTGAGTGGTGGCTATCATCTCTGGTGAGTGGTGGCTATCATCTTTGGTGAGTGGTGGTTATCATCTCTGGTGAGTGGTGGCTATCATCTCTGTTGAGTGGTGGCTATCATCTCTGCTGAGCGGTGGCTATCATCTCTGGTGAGTGGTTGCTGTCATCTCTGGTGAGCGGAAGCTATCATCTCTGGTGAGTGGTGGCTATCATTGCTGGTGAGTGGTGGCTATCATCTCTGGTGAGTGGTGGCTATCATCTCCGGTGAGTGGTGGCTATCATCTCTGGTGAGTGGTGGCTATCATCTCTGGTGAGCGGTAGCTATCATCTCTGGTGAGTGGTGGCTATCATCTCTGTTGAGTGGTGGCTATCATCTCTGCTGAGCGGTGGCTATCATCTCTGGTGAGTGGTTGCTGTCATCTCTGGTGAGCGGAAGCTATCATCTCTGGTGAGTGGTGGCTATCATTGCTGGTGAGTGGTGGCTATAATCTCTGGTGAGTGGTGGCTATCATCTCTGGTGAGTGGTGGCTATCATCTCTGGTGAGGTGGCTATTATTTCTGGTGAGTGGTGGCTATCATCTCTGGTGAGTGGTGGCTATCATCTCTGGTGAGTGGTGGCTATCATCTCTGGTGAGTGGTGGCTATCATCTTTGGTGAGTGGTGGTTATCATCTCTGGTGAGTGGTGGCTATCATCTCTGCTGAGCGGTGGCTATCATCTCTGGTGAGTGGTTGCTGTCATCTCTGGTGAGCGGAAGCTATCATCTCTGGTGAGTGGTGGCTATCATTGCTGGTGAGTGGTGGCTATCATCTCTGGTGAGTGGTGGCTATCATCTCCGGTGAGTGGTGGCTATCATCTCTGGTGAGTGGTGGCTATCATCTCTGGTGAGCGGTAGCTATCATCTCTGGTGAGTGGTGGCTATCATCTCTGTTGAGTGGTGGCTATCATCTCTGCTGAGCGGTGGCTATCATCTCTGGTGAGTGGTTGCTGTCATCTCTGGTGAGCGGAAGCTATCATCTCTGGTGAGTGGTGGCTATCATTGCTGGTGAGTGGTGGCTATAATCTCTGGTGAGTGGTGGCTATCATCTCTGGTGAGTGGTGGCTATCATCTCTGGTGAGGTGGCTATTATTTCTGGTGAGTGGTGGCTATCATCTCTGGTGAGTGGTGGCTATCATCTCTGGTGAGTGGTGGCTATCATCTCTGGTGAGTGGTGGCTATCATCTCTGGTGAGTGGTGGCTATCATCTCTGGTGAGTGGTGGCTATCATCTCTGGTGAGTGGTGGCTATCATCTCTGGTGAGTGATGGCTATCATCTATGGTGTGTGGTGGCTATCATCTCTGCTGAGCGTTGGCTATCATCTCTGGTGAGTGGTTGCTGTCATCTCTGGTGAGCGGAAGCTATCATCTCTGGTGAGTGGTGGCTATCATTGCTGGTGAGTGGTGGCTATCATCTCTGGTGAGTGGTGGCTATCATCTCCGGTGAGTGGTGGCTATCATCTCTGGTGAGTGGTGGCTATCATCTCTGGTGAGCGGTAGCTATCATCTCTGGTGAGTGGTGGCTATCATTGCTGGTGAGTGGTGGCTATCATCTCTGGTGAGTGGTGGCTATCATCTCTGGTGAGTGGTGGCTATCATCTCTGGTGAGCGGTGGCTATCATCTCTGGTGAGTGGTGGCTATCATCTCTGGTGAGTGGTGGCTATAGTCTGGTGAGCAGTGGTGAGTCTCTGGTGAGCGGTGCTCACAGTGTTCCTCGCTTGGTGGAGGCTGCACGGGGTGCAGGTCTCTGGCGGTGGCCCTGGGAGCCAACTCGCTGCTGCTGCTGCTGCGGCGTCGCGAGGGCCCGGCCTCGCAGGCGATGCCCAGCTCCTGGGCGAACTCCTCGCCGTACCAGACCAGCAGCTCAGAGCCGGGCCCCACGGCACGGAACGTGCGGTAGTAAATCTGCCCCCGGTGCTGGAAGGCCACCAGGTTCTGCTCCTGCTCATTCCTCGCGCAGTTGACGAACCTGCGGGGGCAGACGCGGGGGGCGGGGTGGGCGCCGTTAGCGAGCGCCTATTAAGGGCCGGCACTGGGCGCTACGTTGGGGTGGTGGGGCTGGAACCACGCTCAGTACCGGGTGCTCATTTGATGCCGAGTCGACCAAGGGGAGGCCCAGGGTCTCTGTGTGCAGTGGTTGTGGTCTCTGTGTGTGGTGGTTCTGGTCTCTGTGTGTGGTGGTTCTGGTCTCTGTGTGTCGTGGTTCAGGTCTCTATGTGTAGTGGTTCTGGTCTCTGTGTGTAGTGGTTCTGGTCTCTGTGTGTAGTGGTTCTGGTCTGTGTGTAGTAGTTCTGGTCTCTGTAGTGGTTCTGGTCTCTGTGTGTGGTGATTCTGGTCTCTGTGTGTGGTGGTTCTGGTCTCTGTATAGTGGTTCTGGTCTCTGTGTGTAGTGGTTCTGGTCTCTGTGTGGTGGTTCTGGTCTCTGTAGTGGTTCTGGTCTCTGTGTGTGGTGGTTCTGGTCTCTGTGTGTAGTTGTTCTGGTCTATGTGTAGTGGTTCTGGTCTCTATGTGTCGTGGTTCTGGTCTCTGTGTGTGGTGGTTCTGGTCTCTGTGTAGTGGTTCTGGTCTTTGTGTAGTTGTTCTGGTCTATGTGTAGTGGTTCTGGTCTCTGTGTGTAGTGGTTCTGGTCTCTGTGTGTGGTGGTTCTGGTCTCTGTGTGGTGGTTCTGGTCTCTGTGTGTAGTGGTTCTGGTCTCTGTGTGTGGTGGTTCTGGTCTCTGTGTGTAGTGGTTCTGGTCTCTGTGTGTGGTGGTTCTGGTCTCTCTGTAGTGGTTCTGGTCTCTGTGTCTAGTGGTTCTGGTCTCTGTGTTTAGTGGTTCTGGTCTCTGTGTGTCGTGGTTCTGGTCTCTGTGTGTAGTGGTTCTGGTCTCTGTGTCTAGTGGTTCTGGTCTCTGTGTGTGGTGGTTCTGGTCTCTGTGTGTAGTGGTTCTGGTCTCTATATGTGGTGGTTCTGTTCTCTGTGTGTGGTCGTTCTGGTCTCTGTGTGTAGTGGTTCCGATCTCTGTGTAGTGGTCCTTAAGACAAGAATCACCTCATCCAGTTTGATTTTGATTCATCCTGAGCATCAACATATTCACGATCCTTTTTGTTTTTGTAAATCTGAAACACACACGCACACGAGCAGATCCACGGATAATTAATGTGAGTTGGACCGTAACTTGAACTTCTTTCGTACCGGACGTAGCCAACCGTGCTGATCGGAGGTGCGGGGGAAGGACAACAAACTAAACACTAAAAGCAGTTTTAAATAAATTAATTTTAAATCTACAAGATTTAAAAGTGCATAGCTCCCAGTGGCTTCCTCATATTGTAAGCAAGAGCCTTCCAGACGGCCGCTGAAGTGCGTCTGTAAGCGCCGCGCCATGCGGTGACCACCGTCTTTGCACGATGTGTAGCCAAACGCCGCCGCTGCTGCTGCTGCTGTGAGCATGAACAGAGTTTGCGTGATGATGGTTTATGCTTCTTGACGAGATCAGCCGCGAGGTGTCGTGGTTTATTTTTGCGTAAGGAGTGCGTGAGGAGGAACCACCAGTCTGTGGTTCCTCCTTACGCATCGAAGTTGTTCTGTCCTTGCGAGCGAGCGGCTACTGTGGGTTACAAGTTGAACTCATAATGACGTTAAATTTTGGGTCTCTCTGTGAGTCTGTGGGTCCCTGTGTGAGTCTCTGAGTCTCTGTCCAAGTTTCTAGGTCTCTGTGTGAGTCTCTGGGTCTCTGTGTGAGTCTGTGGGTCTCTGTGCAAGTCTGTGGGTCTCTCTGTGAGTCTGTGGGTCCCTGTGTGAGCCTCTAAGGCTCTGTGTGAGTCTCTGGGTCTCTGTGTGAGTCTGTGGGTCTCTGTGTGAGTCTGTGGGTCTCTCTGTGCGAGTCTCTGGGTCTCTGTGTGAGTCTGTGGGTCTCTGTGCGAGTCTCCGGGTCTCTGTGCGAGTCTCTGGGTCTCTGTGTGAGACTCTGGGTCTCTTCTGTGTGAGTCTGTGGGTGACTGTGTGAAGCTATGGCTTTCTCTGTATCTCCCTCACGAGCCTCCTCTCCACACACACGACGACGATGATGATGTAGGAATAGGAGGAGGCTGCAGCAGTGGCAGCAGCAGCAGCAGCAGCAGCTCACCAGCCAGCAGTACTCGCTCACGGGGTTCTCCTCAGACACCTCTCCCTGGTAGGGCCCAAACATCACCCCCTTGGGCAGCTTCTTCCTGTTGCTCCACACGCCGAGGCCGGCGCCGGCGATGGAGGAGGCGCCGACGGTGAGGCCCTGGGGCAGGCTGAGCCGGGCCCTGTCGGCCACTCCCGGGGCCACGGCCGCGTCCGTGATGAACTCTGGCGGGCCGTGCACGGAGCACTCCCCCAGGTAGAAATCCCTGCACAGCTCGCAGACTGAGAGCCACAGCAGCAGCAGCAGGAGGGGGGCGAATCGCAGTAGCAACAGCAGCAGCAGCAGTGGCACTGTGAGAGAGTGAGAGGGTGAGGAGCGCTCCAGACAGATGCCTCCATCCCTCCCTCTCTGCATGGTGAACTTATTTAGCTCGCTCATCGGAGATGTATCCCCTGTAACCCTCCCTGCATCCCTCCCCTCCCTACCTGCCAGCATCCCTGAGCGAGGGAGCAAAAGAGAGAGAGGTGAGTGAGAGTGCGAGAAAGGGAGCGTGTGAGAGGGAGGGCGAGGGGGAGAGAGTGAGAGGGAGCAGGTGGAATATATCGAGTGAAAGCGCGGGAGCAATAGAGGGAGATAGGTGAGAGTGTGAGAAAGTGAGAGTGTAACAAAGGGAGAGAGAGAGGTGAGAAAGAGTAAGAGAGAGAGAGTGAGAAAGTGACAGTGAGAGAGTGACAGTGAAAGAGAGAGAGAAAGTGACAGTGTGAGAGAGAGTGAGAGAGTGACAGTGTGAGATAGTGAGAAAGTGACAGAGTGAGAGAGAGAGTGACAGTGACAGAGAGAGTGAGAGAGTGAGAGGTAGAGGGAGCAGGGGTCTCACAGAAGAAGTCGTCGTCCTGGGGCTCCTCCACCTCTGTGTAGACTTTCCTCTCGCGCTGCCGCAGGCCGTAGCGAGAGCGAGCGCTGAGCGACACCGCCGCAGCCTGGGCGGAGGAGGCCGGCGGCACGGAGGAGCCTGCGGGCAAACGCGGCGAGATGTTGACCACCTCTCCCGGTGTACGGGAGGTCGTGGGTTCCATCCCGACCCTGACGAAGCCTGCCGTACATCTGGAGCCCGCGCGTCTCTCTCTCTCTCTCCTCCGTCACGAGATGTTGACTCCCTCGCGTGGTCTACGGGAGGTCGTGGGTGCGATCCCGACCCTGACGACCCACGCTGTATGTTTGGAGTCTGCGTGTCGTACCTCCCCGTGGTTGCGTGGATTTTTCTCCGGGTCCTCCGGTTTTCCACTCGACGTTCAGAATCGACGTCAGGCGTTGAGGGTAATTTGGCCGCTATAAATGTCCACGTGATGACGATGGTGAAAAGTCAACTACGTTGAGCTATCATTTGTGATAGCCAGGACGCTTCTGAAAAAACAGCTACACGGCTCAATGGGGCTTACCCTGGTAAAATAAACATTGTTTGGTTCATAGGCTGCATCAGTACCAGCAGCAGCACTGACGGGAGCACATGTACCAGAAGCATCAGCAGCAGTGGCGACTTCCATCAGCAGCAGCGGAAGATTGCGGAGTTCCGGTGGGAATAGAGGGGAGCGTGGAGTTCCGGTGAGAATAGAGGGGAGCGTGGAGTTCTGGTGAGAATAGAGGGGAGCGTGGAGTTCCGGTGAGAATAGAGGGGAGCGTGGAGTTCCGGTGAGAATAGAGGCGAGCGTGGAGTTCCGGTGAGAATAGAGGGGAGTGTGGAGTTCCGGTGAGAATAGAGGGGAGTGTGGAGTTCCGGTGAGAATAGAGGGGAGCGTGGAGTTCCGGTGAGAATAGAGGGGAGCGTGGCGTTCCGAGTAGAATAGAGGGGAGCGTGGAGTTCCGGTGAGAATAGAGGGGAGCGTGGAGTTCCGGTGAGAATAGAGGGGAGCGTGGAGTTCTGGTGAGAATAGAGGGGAGCGTGGAGTTCCGGTGAGAATAGAGGGGAGCGTGGAGTTCCGGTGAGAATAGAGGCGAGCGTGGAGTTCCGGTGAGAATAGAGGGGAGTGTAGAGTTCCGGTGAGAATAGAGGGGAGTGTGGAGTTCCGGTGAGAATAGAGGGGAGCGTGGAGCTCCGGTGAGAATAGAGGGGAGCGTGGCGTTCCGAGTAGAATAGAGGGGAGCGTGGAGTTCCGGTGAGAATAGAGGGGAATGTGGAGTTCCGGTGAGAATAGAGGGGAGTGTGGAGTTCCGGTGAGAATAGAGGGGAGCGTGGAGTTCCGGTGAGAATAGAGGGGAATGTGGAGTTCCAGTGAGAATAGAGGGGAGCGTGGAGTTCCGGTGAGAATAGAGGGGAGCGTGGAGTTCCGGTGAGAATAGAGGGGAGTGTGGAGTTCTGGTGAGAATAGAGGGGAGCGTGGAGTTCCGGTGAGAATAGAGGGGAGTGTGGAGTTCCGGTGAGAATAGAGGGGAGTGTGGAGTTCCGGTGAGAATAGAGGGGAGCGTGGAGTTCCGGTCAGAATAGAGGGGAGTGTGGAGTTCCGGTGAGAATAAAGGGGAGTGTGGAGTTCCAGTGAGAATAGAGGGGAGTGTGGAGTTCCGGTCAGAATAGAGGGGAGTGTGGAGTTCCGGTGAGAATAGAGGGGAGTGTGGAGTTCCGCTGAGAATGGAGGGGAGTGTGGAGTTCCGGTGAGAATAGAGGGGAGCGTGGAGTTCCGGTTAGAATAGAGGGGGAGTGTGGAGTTCCGGTGAGAATAGAGGGGAGTGTGGAGTTCCGGTCAGAATAGAGGGGAGTGTGGAGTTCCGGTGAGAATAGAGGGGAGTGTGGAGTTCCGGTGAGAATAGAGGGGAGTGTGGAGTTCCGGTGAGAATAGAGGGGAGTGTGGAGTTCCGGTGAGAATAGAGGGGAGTGTGGAGTTCCGGTCAGAATAGAGGGGAGTGTGGAGTTCCGGTCAGAATAGAGGGGAGTGTGGAGTTCCGGTGAGAATAGAGAGGAGCGTGGAGTTGCGGTGTGAATAGAAATCACCGCTGCAGGCTACGCACCTCCACGTATCCTCTGCAGCACCACCCTCAGGGCCTCCTTGCAGGCGGTGGCTCTGCGCTCCAGCCTGAACATCGCCATCCTGGCCTTGTGCACCTCCCTCAGCTCAAATCCCCTGAACTCCTCCTCCTGCTGCTGCTCCTCCTCCACGCCCTGCAAGATGCTCCACACGTACTCCAGGGCTTCCGCTTTAGTCTGAGCGGAGGGGGCGGTGGGGTGAGGGGTCGGAAGGGGGTGTGGGGGACAGAGTTGGTGCAGTGACCAGCGGTGGCTAGGAGATGTTCACTCCCTCGCCTGGTACGCAGGAGGTCGCGGGTTCGATCTCGACCCTGACACCTCATCGGATTCCTCCAGTACAATACATATTCTAATTCTGATATTCTGATTCTGTATATCTGATTCCATACATCACGCAGAACCATGCCGTCGTCATGCTGAACCTCGGTGGGTATGGCAGGCCAAGCCTCTTCTACGAAAAGTAAAAAGTAATAAAATACAAATTAAGATTCTTCCACTGATCTGTATTTCGTCATTTCTGTACGACTCCAATAATTTTGATCGTCAAAATCGCCAAATTTGCGGAGCTCCGCTGCAAATACAGGGAGACTAGAGGTGAGGCAGCGACGAGCTCAGCCTCCCCTCTGATTGCGCAACCCCTCAGAAACTGGATGGAGCGCGGGCAATAAGCGCGTGCCTGTTACTATCTCTCTGTAATGATTGGAATTATACAGAAATGACATAACACAGATCAGTGGAATTTCTTTTTTACTTTCCGTAAAAGCTATTTTCATTGGAGTATATGACAGGTGAGGCTCTAGCCTCGCCTGCCTCCCCTGACCGCACGTCCCTGGTATAGTAAGTAGTGTTTAGTAGTACGTATGTATGTTGAATTTCTTTGGCACCGTACGTAGCCAACCTCGCTAATGGGAGGTGCGTGGGGAAGGACAACAAACTAAAGACAACAACAACAGCAGCAGCAGCAGCTGTAACGAGAGGAGTGCCGTGCGCTGTGCACAGAGACCTTGCGCTTGCTGGGAGCTGCCCTCGCGTGCGACTCTCCCACGGTAGCCCAGCGTGAAGCAGCCCCCTTGCCTCCTCCTGCGTGAACACACGCACACACGTGTGAACACACGCACACACGTGAACACACGCACACACACACGTGAGCACACTCACAAACGTGTGTGCGTGAACACACACACGTGTGAACACACGAACACGCGTGTGAACACACGCACACGTGTGAACACACGTGAACACACGCACACACCTGTGAACACACGCACACACGTGTCCATGCGTTTGAACACATGGATACCAGCAAACACACGCACACACGTGTGAACACACGGACACGCAAAGATCCCCCGTATAGCCTTAACAGACTGTAGGGTCAAGTGCTGTTAGTGAGCACCTATGAAGGCCGGAACGGTACACGAGGGGGTGGGTGGCCAGCACCACGCCCGACCGCCTTTGTCTCCCCAGTGGCGATGTTTACACACCGCACCATGTATTCATTTGAGGCTGAGTCGACCTAGGGAAGGCCCAGGACCGGTTCAGATAATCGTCACTGGTGTTGACCGCCAGGTTCATAGCACAGCGCACCAACCGCTACACTACCGCTACGCATGGAAACGTGTGAACACACGGAAATGCATTAACACACGCACACACGTGTGAACACACCCACGTGCGTATTTACGCATGCACGCATTTACTCACATATTTACAAATAAATTAATGATCTCCCTTGTGCAGCCTTAACAGTCTACAGGGGTCTCTGCGTGAGTCTACAGGGGTCTCTGTGTGAGTCTACAGGGGTCTCTGTGTGAGTCTACAGGGGTCTCTGTGTGAGTCTGTAGGGGTCTCTGTGTGAGTCTACAGGGGGTCTCTGTGTGAGTCTACAGGGTGTCTCTGTGTGAGTCTACAGGGGTCTCTGCGTGATTCTACAGGGGGTCTCTGTGTGAGTCTACAGGGGGTCTCTGTGTGAGTCTACAGGGGCCTCTGTGTGAGTCTACAGGGGTCTCTGTGTGAGTCCACAGGGGTTCTCTGTGTAAGTCTACAGGGGGTCTCTGTGTGAGTCTACAGGGGTCTCTGTGTGAGTCTACAGGGGTCTCTGCGTGAGTCTACAGGGGGTCTCTGTGTGAGTCTACCGGGGGTCTCTGCGTGAGTCTACAGGGGTCTCTGCGTGAGTCTACAGGGGTCTCTGTGTGAGTCTACAGGGGGTCTCTGTGTGAGTCTACAGGGGGGTCTCTGTATGAGTCTACAGGGGGTCTCTGTGTGAGTCTACCGGGGGTCTCTGCGTGAGTCTACAGGGGGTCTCTGTGTGAGTCTACAGGGGTCTCTGTGTGAGTCTACAGGGGGTCTCTGTGTGAGTCTGCAGGGGGTCTCTGTGTGAGTCTACAGGGGGTCTCTGTGTGAGTCTACAGGGGGTCTCTGTGTGAGTCTACAGGGGGTCTCTGTGTGAGTCTACAGGGGGTCTCTACACGCTGTGGAAGCGCCCTTTTACGTTTGCCTCCTCCGCCTCTTCGTCCTCCGTGCACCGCCACCTCCTTCCTCTTCCTCCTCCTCGTCCATTCCTCGTCGGAGTCGCTCGACCGCCCGCACTCCGCTCCATTCCCCCTCGCCCTGCGCTTGCCGCGTGCGCGCATGAACTCGGGCTGGGCCGGGTTCATCCCTGCGCAAGGAGGCAGTCGGTCATTGTTATTTGGACGTATTGGCGGTACACCGGTGCAGCATAGCGACACGCCGGTTCCTCGTAACACAGTCCGGACGATGTGATTATTATCGGAGAGTGTTTGTTTGTCGTGTTCAACACAAGCACGCGTGGTTATTGCAGTAGCTTTCATTCCGCTCAAAAGGAATAATCTATTTGGTGTGTGGACATCTTAACGCCTCCTGTTTTATTGCCAGAAAGGGTGAAATCGATCTTATTTTTCACGCTTTGATACTGGCAAAAAGGTCCCATCGTATAGCTGCTCACCCCGAGCTATCAATGCTCTCGATGCTGCATTGTCTTTGTACCGGTCGCCTTTTGTTGTTGTTCTCTGGTCTGACACTGGTGAGACTGGGCCATGAAGAAGGCTGTCTCTGGGGTAGACCAATCAGGTTTCAAAGACAACGATTAAATATTATCGGAGAGTGTTTGTT